TTTTAAATCAATTTTTATATTTCATGTACTTTTATTATTTACTTTATTAATCTGAAAACCTAAAAGGAAATGTTAACTCTTTCTTTACGGTATTAATAAAGCATTATTCTATTCTATTCTATTGCATCATTGGCACACGTCCTACAGACAGGAATTCTCAATTCACATCTAAAACAATAGTCGTTTCTAGTCTGTTTCTTGATAGTCTGAGCTTTGATTGACTAAATACATCAAAGTGGTGCGCCAAAATACACCTACGGAGAATTTCTTAGGAAGAAAAACCCCCAGAAAAAAACAGTTGATCGAGGGAAATTCATCATCATCGAACGATCACCATCACCATCACAAACCGAGCGTCTGTGACCAGAACATTTATTAAATTTCTACACAACCGTGAATGTGCCAGTTAGAAATAAACACACTGAACGTGCAAGCTCAAATAATTGAAGTCAACAGCAAAAATTCCAAATGTATACTAGTAGCTAGTTACCTGCAACAGCATGGGCAGAAACAATATCGGTGATGACTTTCCCAACATACAATCGATTCGAAATTTGCGCAAAATAAAGTCACGTGATTTAACAGTGCGCCCTCTTAATGTCCATGTCGATAATTTGATGTTTTTAGTGCGAAGAAAGGCATTTATTCGTATGAATTTGATGTTAATTAGAAAATGATGATCAAAGTTTTAAGTTTTAATCAAGTTTTCTGACGTAAATATGATTTCGTCGAAATTTACAACAAGTTTTTATGCTTTGCTCGAGTACCGTCCATTTGAGATAAGATTTTTCAAACAACCATACAACCCGGAAACCGACGCGATATGTACGTTTTATAATATATTGTCAAAACATTTGTATTTTTCTTGTTTTCCAGTGAAAGTGGCTTCATATTTTTAAAAGAACACACTTTTGTGGATTCTTAGAAAGAGAAACGGCGTTCCTTTATTGTCTGTTTCATATATTACCGGGGACAAGTTAACTTTAGGCTTTGTTTGGAAATTGTGAGACGAAACATTGAAAACACTATGGCGCTCGTGAAGGTTGGTGGAAAAGGCGTGATGGTCACACAGACGGAGGGAGCAGTGATTAATAAAAATAAACCAAAGAAAAAAGTACTAGCCGAAGAAAAGTACACAGAGGTAAGTGTTCAATCAAACTTGTTGTTGCCAGAAACCTGAACATTGCTCAGGTGTATTGACGTATTGTATTACGTTTGTTGAGTCATGATGAAGATAATGTTGATCCCAAGTCACTCTACCTGACTGTGGTTGATGGGATGAGTACACATGATTTAGGTTTCTCATGGACTTTTGTTTTTTATTGTTTTACAGTTTTCTTAGATTGTTCATAGTTTCTAGTGAGCTTACTGCTGTACTTTCTGAGTCAGTAATGCTCCAGTCAATGTCAACCCCCACCCAGCCCACCTCGGAGTTTAGTGGGGGATTTGGAAATTATTGTTATAAAATTTGCGAAATGCCCCACCTCCTGGGGCAAGATGGATAGGCAAATCCCCACCCAAAACAAACCCCCCACATTTCTCCCACCAATTGCCACTGTCCGCCATGCTTGCTATCAGCAGAGTACTGGCGATGCTGGCGATGACGGGACACGAAACACAGCTATTACCCCACCTCCACGGGCACAGTTTGGCGGTAAACCCTGTCTAATGCCCCACATTTGTCTCGTATCGCCCGAGGTGGGAGGGGTCGGGAATCAAAGTTAGGTTATAGCTGTATGCAAATGTATTGAATGCAAGTCTATGGGAAGAACCATAGCTCTTCTTTTGATAAAAATCCTAATATCTGAAAATAATTAATTGCATAAAATGACTAAACAGAAATGACTAATATACCATCACAAAGACTAAAGAACAACACAAGAAGAGCTATGGATCCACAGCCTATGTTCACTCTATTTTACTATAGCAGAATCCATGGCAATGTTTGAGTGGGAAGCTGATGATCAAATCCATCTCTGTATTCTTTAAATTTATTCATAACAAGCCTACATTGTACAAAAATTGCATGACAATGTTCATTGGTTTATTACTGTAAAATCATGAAACTATTGTCCCATGGAAGTATAAAATAGAATTCTTTTGTGTGTTACAGTGACATATTCTGAGCAACTTGTCCAAATAATTTTTAAAACAATTCCAAAATTTTTAGAACAATTCCAAAGAACACAATGTTAAAGAAAAATTGCATTTTTTGACAGTTTTTTAAATCTAGATTTTTGAAATAATTTAGGACAACAAAAATTACCCCATCATTCACACTATATGATTTTTTGGCCTATGCATAATGTCTCTGCCATAGCCCATAGGGGCATATGGTAAAATCATTGTAAAAGTAACCAAACTAAAATACAACCATCAGTGTCTCAAAAATTAGGCTGGTGACCCCTAACTATTTTTTTAAGTCAATATTCTTATATTGCCAGGAGTATTAATATAATTTTTTTCAAAATGATTACATTCTGGGTATTTGCATTCATGAGTAGGCTTCTACTTGATTAATAAGTAATCAACCTAATCTAATTTTGTTTGAGCCTTGTAAGGTCAGTAGTATACACAGGTTTGACCATACTATATTGTTGGGGTGTTACATACTTTTCAAATAACCGATTCCTTTCCAATTTTAGGATATGGAAAAGATCATAGAGAGAGACTTTTTCCCCGACATGGAGAAAATGAGAGTTCAGAAAGAATATATTGATGCGATGGAAAATAAGGACACAGAGAAAATGAGGGAATTGGCAATTAGGCTGAGTTCTACAAGACACAAGAGACCACATACAATTACTGAAAACACAGACACATGTAAGTACTATGAATTGAAATTTATTGTTGGATGAATACACTTTGGTGGTGTAGCTTTGCTTCCATAGATCTCCATTCAGTTAGGTGTTGGTATACAATGACTTTACGTCTATTTTATTGTTTTTATTTTATTTGGTAAAGAATGAGTAGCTGCTCTATATTTCAAATTACGTTTGTTGAAAGAAAGATTGGCTTGGGGCAAGTAGAAGCATTTATTTGATGCTTGCTGTGTTGAATGGGAATGGAGTAAAATAATGGTTGATGTTCTGAGCAAAACGGTTTTGATTTAAATTGAAAATAAAGAGACAGTTCTAATATTTGCGAAACCTGAATATATTATTATATTAAGTTTGTAAAAGAGATGTGTGGTGTGAGCTTGGAAAACTAAGAAAGTTATTAATCGGGCAATTTTTTTTGTATCAATTGGGTTCAAAGTTGTGATATGGGCATTCCCCATATTTCTAGAAAATATGTTAGATGGGGTAAAATTAAAAAACTGTGGATCTTAGAACATAATGGCATATACAAGAAATTATTGCAGCCTTAGAGGCAATGATATTTACAATGTTTTCAATATGAGTTTCTAAAACTCTGATGTCATCCAGTTTCAATATACAACTTGTGTGAGCTTCTATTTTGTAGACAGTAGCCCAATATCATTTTAGGAAATTTTGTCTCTCAGTAGTTTGTAAGTCTGAGTAAGTCTTCAATTTTATGTCTTTACACTGAATGTCAGTGTTTCATTTTTGTACATTGTTCTCATATGCTTTCTTTTTGAAGCAGTGTACTAGTATTTTCCAGGTTTTTTGTTATGTTGTACATGTAATCATGTACGTTGCTTTTCTTGGAGTGAAATGTACCACCTCAGACTTTCAACTAAATTTTAATAACACTGCAATACTAAAATTTAACATTAATCTTTTTTGTTCTCTCAACAGATGCAAGTCCATCTACATTTGAAACACCTGACGTTGCACTTCAAGGTAAAAGGTCATCACCAAGACGACAGGATTTACTCATTGATTTGGAAGATAATGATAATGAAGTAGTCAACAAGAAAAAGAAACCAGGTACTGACTGTAGCCAAATGCTGTCATGTTTGAGCACATATGTGTCAGCAGCTGGACCACTACCCTCATTAGTTACAGCAAATCTCAGAAGTATTGAGGCAGCCAATTTGCAAACTCACTAGCGAATTGGCTGACTGCTTTGGTTTTGACTGAACAGTTGTGTTTCGAATCTTGCTGGTGCCGACTTGTGGTCACACCCGCTCTATATTATCGTAGGGGACATACAATGATTTTATGTAGTGGAATATAAATATACGATTTTGTGAATTATTTACTGTTAGCCAAAAATTTGTCTTGCAGAAATTTAGTAGTGCTGCTAATAGGATTATACTTTGTAGTTGTATTGATTCTGCAAACTGAATATTCATTCAAGACCCACGCTAACTCAATCCATTCTTTTTAATTTTCATACCGTGGAGAACCATTATGTGATTGCTGGTTTTTGAGCTAATAACAATGTTGCTAATTTATGTATTGAGCCAAAGTAGTATAAAAAGAATAGCATTTGAATTGTTGTTTAATATTAATGTTAATAAGTTTAATAATTTGGCAGATGAATCCAATCGCTCACTTGATGAATATCTAGCAAGGAACACAAGCGAAGACAATGCATCATTCTGTGAAATTATGCATATGGCAGAAGAAAAACAAAAACAGAAGCATGAATGGATGTACAATGCTGAGCAGACTCAGAAAGAAGAACAGTTAAAAATGATAGAAGGATCTCCGAGGCTGGCTATCAAAGGTATCAATAAAAAGGTGGATACATGGACGTACCAGGCAAAAAATCAACTTATGTATGTTCCTGAAGGTAAGAGTGTTTTCAAATGCTGCCCATAATGTATGAATTAAACCTTGTGTGGATATGAAGGTTGTGAAATGCAGTTTAGTACAGATATGTCCATTTCTAGTGTAGGTGTTGTCAATGGTAATGAAAATCAATTCAGGTGCATCAGGGAGGAAACCATTTTTCGCCTTGGAGCAAACTGCTCCACTTCTTTTCTTCTACTTACTACCTAGTGCACATACGCATGTTTTATACTTGTATCTTTATATGGCTTCTTTTCGCACTTGTTATGCATGTTCTTACATTCTTGTATTTTGCCTATGCAGTATTCCATCTTTATAAGCTACCAAAGAAGAACCCATTGCTCGAAATGTATGGATATTTTGAATAGTTATCTAGGAAAACGATCCTCAAATCATCTCTTATATTATTGTCTTCTTTTCGTTTTCACAATTTCTTTGCAAGAAAACACAGTACATTTCTTATTATAAAACACCAAATGTGTCATAAGTCATGTCATCACCACCAAATACAAAATGCTGTGTTTGCCAACACTGATTATTGGTTTACAAGACATGATCTAATTGCATTATATTGTCTGCAGGTGTTGATGAGAGCATAGATGAGAAGATAAACAAGCAGCATAAACATCGAGAGATTGTTCATGACAACACCAGGTTTCAGATCAACCCATTCAACATGGACAAACAAAAAGAAACGATGGCCCGAGCTGCTGCAGCTAAAGCGGTCATCAGTCTTGGTAAAATAGGACACGATGGCAAGGAAATTCTCACAGAGGACACACCAAAAGTTAATGGTTATTCTATGGTTGCTACTCCTTCACCAGCACCAGGTAGGCTGTACTATGAGTTTATCTTCTCATATCATATGTTTGTAGCTTGTAGAGCTGGTTGAGTATTATTAACAAACCGTAGATGAGTGAATAATACAGCCCATGACTCCATGGATATCGACCAGCTCTACCAATAAGTGATATCAGGTGATAAACTTTTTATTTTATGGCCAACTCAGAAATTTTACGCAACTTACTCTAATGAACCATATGCTAATTTATGCTAATTAGGCATAATGTATAATAAATTTCAATATCCCCCTTCACTGTTTATGCTTGTAACATGTAAAATTGAAGTAGAAATTGAAGCCCCAGTAATAAACAATACATCAGCATTACTTATTACATTTCGTATTACATATTCTGACCAGCCAATAGGAATTTGATAACTACAAGGATGGATTGTTGTCATCATTGTTTGATAAATATAACTACCCTATGCAGGAGGTGTTGTCAATAAAAATACTGTTTTGCCATCATCAATTTCGTTAAATATGTTACGAATAGATTTAGAGCTAAGACATGACTATAAAAAATGGGAAAAAAAACTTAATCTGCTGGAAGAATGGAAAGCCCAAACAAATCTACTGTAAAATACTTTATTTTCACTTGAAACTAATTTTCACTGAAGGAATGATTCATTGAAAATAAAATCCAGCGAGTATACTTTTTTTTCCTATATTTTACATTCAACTCGTCAAAAATCAGTGAAACTAAATTCCATACGAAACACCAAAAAAGTCTTTTCAGTGAAAATTAATTCCAGCTAAAATAAAGTATTTACAGTATGCAAATGAGTATACAAAAGAACATGAAGCAACTTTATCTAGAAAATCAAATTTTAGGAAATACATATTTTGCACATTCCCATCTGTGTTTCTAATGATCCACCTTTAGTCTATTTAAACTGCCTCAACTTGACAAGTTGATTTTCCACATTTGGTCTCAAATGCTTATACAGATTAACGAGCAATTGACATTGTCATCTTTTGTGTGATAGTATGTTGTAACTTCTTTTCTATGTTCTACACTTTAGGTAGAGATGGCGATGAGTCTCCTATGATGACCTGGGGTGAAATAGAAAGTACACCATTTAGATTAGACGGAAGTGAAACACCATCTATGGGACCTACTTTCAGGGTAAGTTACCAAAAATTTGTCCTTGTTTGGATAAAGTCTGAAAATTTCTCTGTGTGTCAAATAAATGTTCAGATTTTACAGTAGAATGTATTGTTTTCTTCACAAACAAGTGAATTTAAATAAATTCTATGAATATTTTTGTAGTCTGAAAATAGGGATTTGCCTCCATGTGTATCAATCTATTTGCACCTTCTGTTCAGGCATTAATTTTTATTACGATTACTCTTTTTTAGTAACCATGTTTCAGCAGTGTGAATCACTCAATTTATCGAGTATAAAATTATTGAAATGAATTGAGAAATTCTCAAAGGCAAGTTATTTCACCACTTGCCAGATAAAATTGTCAGAGTGCCATGGAAGTGACTGCAATGACTGTGTTCACAACGTAGAATGTGCGACAAGGATATCGGATGCGACGTTTCAGTGGGGGCTTTGTCGTACGATACGAAGTATCTTACCAAATATCCATTCTGGCATGTCAGCTGTCTATTTCAGAAGGCTAAAGTTGCTCAAAATCCTTGAAGGCAACCCCGAAAGTAACAGTGGCCGGGACAGCACCAGTGTATCAAACGACAATTTGTTATGAGCAGTGTCATTGCGTAGTACGGTAGTTTCAGTGACGTCATCCATGTGATTTACCATGTAACATCCATTTTTATGGCAGAGTCTAACCAATCACATCATGCGTAACAACAGTGAGATGGGATAAAACATGTTCTCACATGAAATCTTTTTCATGACCAATTTGAATCCACCCATGTGCAAATTGATAACTACAAAATACTTTATTTTAACTGGAATTAGTTTTTGCTGAAAAGTTATTTTGTCTGTTTTGTACGGAGTCCATTTTCACCAATGTTTGATGAGTTGAATTTAAAATATAGGAAAAAAGGGTATTTTCATCCCTTTAGTGAAAATAAAGTAATTTACAGTGCTTGTAACTTACCACATCATCATACACAACCCTTGAGGACAGGTGCTGTATAGAAAAATAACTCAATAACACATGTACAAGTTTTACTCCCATACACTATGTGCAGTATTTGGTGACATACAATATATTGACATCAGATTGTCTATTGTAGATTGCAAACTTCCCAAGAAGAGAACAGCTTGGAATAACACTTGCAGAGAAAGTCAGTAAATCTCACAGAGCCAAGAAAGGTGACGCTCGCAAAGTGCTCGAAAATTTTAAAACGTGAGTGAACTAATGTAATTATATAATTTCTATTACATTGGAATTAAGAATGGTGGACTGGCTTTAAGCTTGTCAGCATCCATGATTCCCAGAAAAATAGTTTTGTCTTGTTCTGAGCTTTTGTTGCACGACCATCATTAAAATATTACCCGCTCAACAAATAATGTGCTATTGTTTATTTACAGTCCAGCAATGAAAAGAATGGGATCAGTTGAACGAATGAGCATGCTGTCGCCAGCAGCACGGAAACTTGTGAGTAAAAGCATAGGAAATCGAGGAGCAACTGACAAAGCCCTGAGAGCAAGTTATACCCCGTCACCACAGAGATCAGTAGGTGACAAAACACCTGTCAGATTAACGCCTGTTCGATTAACACCACACAGAACACCAACCACAACATCAAGCAGTGGTATTAGAAAGACCCCTAAAATTAGCAGTATTGGACCTGATGTGTCCACATTGACTGATAATCTACTTAATCTGCCAAAGAAGCCAAGTAAATCACGGGCTAAAGCAACAGACTTCTTTTGAATACTGGAATAGTAGAAAAATCCACTTGTGTGGGATTTTGCACTTTTATTAGGATGTCCCAGAAATGTGAGAACTGTTGTCTGGTCAGTGTTGTTATATAATGGTGCAAGTTATGAATCATGATTATAAACAAGATTCTGGAATGATGATCTTTGCACATCCTCATCTGCTACTTGGAGTTTACAAGAATTTTGAAGCTACACCATACTTACAAGATTGTGTCTGATTGGCTATCCAATCGTAACATCTAACAGCAAGACCAATCAGGCAGTTTGTTTGTTTACGTATAAAATTATGTCTCAACTCAACTGCAAACTTGGTCAGGATGTAAAGTGTGGATTTACAAGGTACCTTCCTGGAAACTGAGATTTACAATTTCTATATGTGAAAAAAACGATAACAGAGTGGATTTATTGTACATGAAGAATATATTGTCTGAACAATGTTTCATGTTACCAAAAGTAGTACAAAATTTTGTGCAGTGGTGTGCAAACAATTGCGAGTTAATGCTCACATAACCTATTTATTGAAAATATGTGTTAAGACGTATCTCCCACATGGGCCACCATGAGGGCAAGTTTCAGTTAGCCAATGTATAATGCCGACAGTGATACTGAGATATTTTATCACATGCATTAAGAATAAACAACTTTACATCCACATTGACTGGATGCTATTTTTTCAACTTTGAATGCAGCAAACCTGGAAAGAGGGAAGAAAGTACTGTTTATTTAACTGCTGCTGCATTGAACCATTATGGATACAACACAGAGCAGCTTCATAAATGTTTTTGCAGTGATTACAATGAAACCATGTGCATTAAAAACTGACAGACTACTGTGGGCTAATTGTTGAATTAAAATTACATTAAAATTTGGATATTTTAAGTTAACATCTGTCATTATTAGTGAGTTCATTGGATTATAGGGTTCGTTTCAATCATAACAAATGAGAAAGTCATTCTACCAGTGCCTTCTAAAAGCTCCATCGATAACTAAAATGAATGGGAAGAACAGGGTCAGCAGGCAATGTGCCTAGGATGTCAGTTTATTTGATGTGCTATGTCTTGGCCCATTCAAATACTAGCACTTGTGAACCACCATGGCACCCCCATCAATGTTGTAGCCAATAAAATTAAATAAATACACAAAGTCTATTTTACTTCAATGCACAGATATATCAAGTACACAATTGCAACCTCAAAAAAATAAATTTGACAAATCATTCTAGTTAAGAATTTCCTGGTAAGAGTCCCTGCTCTAGTGTATTCTGTATAGCTCAGACTACATCTTGCGGTAAGGATTGACTGGGAAGAGTTCCAGCTCTTTAGTCTATTCTGTATAGCTCAGACTATATCTTGTGGTCATCTGAGTTGTTGTAATCAATAAGACCAATTTGTGAGATTACGCTTGTTTATTTGCATCTTTAATACACATGAATTTACACAAATCTCAATGGCTAGCACCTACAGCATAAAAATAAAGATTTTTTCTGTTTCCATCACATTCAGCAAATCACTTCCTGTCAAACTAATTTCTTTGCAAAAATAAAACACAGTATTCCCTACCGTATGATATTTAGTTGACGCTCCAAAATAAAAATAACGTACAAACAAGAAACTGAAGTATGAGTTAGGTGTTATGAATGAATTTCAAAAATCATGGTAGATCATAACTGTACATGCCACGATACAATGTTAGTATCAATGGAACATACCCGGTACATACAGTAGAGGCTGGTGGGTCTGAATTGATTTATTATCATTTAAAATAAACATGAACAGAATAATTTCATTTACATACTGCCAATCTGAAGACGAACATGCATGTTTTTTTTTATATCAACTTGTGCTCTGCAGGTTTAACTACTGGTGATGTTTTTAAGTTTTTCTAAGAACTGTATGTAGAGTGTGTGTTCCATTGAACTTGCAAAGACTGAAATCTTCTCAACCAGATCGTTGTCGATCCCCCGCTCGCTGAGCATGTTCATCAGCATGTCGTACAGCTCCTGTAAATGCAGGATAAGAAAACATCCTTTGAGATAAGGTACGAAAGATGATATACATATCACCGTTTAAGATGGGGAACAATTAGATTAAAAATGTGTTACCATTTAACATGGGTGCAAAAAGTGATAGCACTGATTGAAATGCAGGATGAAAGAAAAACATGTTACTGTTAGAGATGTGGGTAAGCAAAATAGATAAACATGTCATCCATTGAGATGGGTATGAAAGATGAAAAACACATCGTTTGAAATGGAAAATGATAAACCATGTCTCAAAATTTGAGGACAAGAGATGAAAAACCTGTCACCGACCAAGATGGGGAACGAGAGATGCAAAACATTGTACTGTTTGAGATGGGGTACTGAAAAAGGGTGGATAAGAGATTCAAATAGAAAGGTTCAATTCATAGATTAGCTTACTGCTCCAATGTAATTAAATTATCTTTGTTTCAGAAATAATTTAACTCAAAACTTGGCCATACTAGTGATATGTGTGAAATGTTTCTGCATTGTGTGGTGAAAGACAGATTTGAGCCACACTCGCTTCTTGTGTGATGACAGCTGGTAACAAGTTTCATCCATGATTGGAAAATTGTTTTTATTATTTTTATTACAATTTGTATTATATAATTTAATTATCTGAGCTGGTACATGTAATTGAATAATGGGATATGATTTCACTGATAGCAGCTGTATTGAATGAAAATGATGATCATAAAGCAAGTGAATTTATTTACCCCAGCCATGACTTCTGACCCCATGACATATGTCTTCTCTGTGACCTTATCGTTGCTAATGACAACTTCATCAATAAGGAAGTAGTCTTCTCCAGATTCTTCTTGTTGGGCTTCGTCGTTGTCCATTTCGTCATTTATAAACCGACAAGACATAGAGATTTTAGGTTTGCCAGATTTAACAATTGTGACTTCAAAATTTGGATATGATTGCATCTGTGGAGGAAACAATTTACAAACTGTAAGGCTACAAAACCAAAGCTTTCACCACTGTAGTATCAACAGTAATTCAGATTCACACCAGACATTATTTCAAAATGTCATTAAATATGTTCAATAATTTCAGACTAAGTGTTTCCTGTTAAATTTATTGTTAAACACCCAAAGTATGACAAATAATTAAAACTATTCCATGATGTTAGTTGCCAGTTTGGACAAAATGTCTAATCTCAAAACAACTGAATATCTATATAAAACAAGACTTGCCCTTTTTGTGTATTCTGAATCATTAAAATGTGACATATTTTGACCATACATGCACCTTTGTCATTTACGCAAGTGAATGCATATAGAACAGATACATTATTAAATATTACTTGACTAGAAGAGTCTAAATAGCAGCATAATATGAATGGTTTAAATGGTTTGCATAATTTTACCTTTCCATCTTCATCTCCTTCCCCACTTGCTTCAAATTCTACAGAGTGGTTGACGTTAAATTTTATTGTTATCCTGGAGAGGGAAGTACAATGTTATGTTAAGCTGAAAACGGAGGAAAAAATAACTCAGAAAAAAATAACAATCCAGATCAACTCTACTAGTCTGAATTACACAATACCGTATTTATCCAGGTATAAGCCCAGGGTCCTGAACATGGAAAATTGCCAAAAAATAGGGGTTGGCGTTTGCCAGGAGATCCCCAGCAAAAAAAACGAAAATTCGCAAAAATTTACAACACGCAGATCGAACTGCAGCAGGGAATAGAACGGCAAATGAAAACATGCAACGGAAATAAATGAACAATATGCAACATCAGAAGTAAAACAAAATTAACATATTGCTTATAAAATGACAAATAAACCAGAAATAATAAAAATCGACAGTGAGGAATTATTTGAATTATGATTTTCCTGCCGACAAACGCCCAGTACGCGTGAACTCAAAATGAATTAAAATGTCAGGGGTTAAACTGCGTAAAATGATTTCCGGTCTCGACAAATTACGAATCAACTGTCATTCAAGATCAATTATAATTTACAAATTTACACAGTTAAAATTATAAAAATTCATAGCTGTTTGTACGTTCATTGCCATCTTCGTCAAACCCAAAACCCTCAAAGTCATTGTAGCCGTCGGAGAAAATCCCTACAACTTCTTCCTGAAGTTCGTCGATATCGTCCCACACAATTTGGACTTAGCACTTTTAATCCACAGATTTCGCAGTCTGTCAGCTTGGCACTTTTCATTCATGTCTAATCACAATAAAGAGACAAGAAAATGGGGTTGCTCTGCTGCGATGGCACACGATGTTTTTGTTTACAGTCTGGCAATCATCTTTGACCTTTATGCATCTGCTTTATGACATCACTACTAGTATTTCATCATAAAGGTCAAATCGTGACATTGCTTTCCTATCAGACTCGATGCTTATCAATCACGGTGAAAGTTATCATTCAGCAAGTTCCGGCGGTTGGAATGTCTCACTATATGGATATCGCGGTGGACTTGAAATAGTCAGTTTTTTTTTTATCCAACGACAGAAGAATAGTTTTCATGACAGAAATGCAATAGCGGTGATGAAAGATGGAAACAAATTTGGCAGTCATCGGCGTGACATTGCAAAATTGCTGGTCCCAGTTATGGATTCGCAAGCTGCTAGCAAATATTTTATAAAGCCCAAATAACGCGATTTCAAACACTCTCCCTGGTACGGGTTGCTAAAATATTGCAACATTGGTTTCATTGTCGACGACGCTAAAGCCGAATGAGTGCGACACTTGCTTAGCGGTTCTCCTTGTATGATTTGCTTGAATCGTTTTTAAAGAAGCACAAATCGAAAGGCCGGCCTTTTTTAGGGCCACGACATATTTCA